TCGGACTCATTAAAAGATGAACGGAATTATGGTTTGGGCATGGATGCTCTGGTAATCGCACTCATTAACAGATGAACGGAATTATGGTTTGGGCATGGATGCTCTGGTAACCGCACTCATGAAAAGATGAACGGAATTCTGGTTTGGGCATGGATGCTCTGGTAACCGCACTCATTAAAAGATGAACAGACTTATGGTTTGGGCATGGATGCTCTGGTAATCGCACTCAATAAAAGATGAACGGAATTATTGTTTTGGGCATGGATGCTCTGGTCAGCGTATGCTCTCGAAAGACACGATCTTGCGGCGTACGCAGGCGGAACAGCGAAGGTGCTTGAAAACCCGCTGCAGAATACGCGCCGTGAACCAACTACAGAGTACAGCGTTTCTCAACCGCAGAGTATCCCTGCAGTGCCCAACGGTGGAGTATCCCAGCACTGCCACAGTGCCTAACCACACACCGAACCGCAGAGTATCCCTGCAGCGCCCATCCTCAGAGAATCCTGCTGTGCCCAACCCAAAGTAACTCAAACTCACCCTGCCCTGCGGTATTCCAAGCGCTCCCTGCAGTGCCCAATTTCGGGGTATCCTTGGAGAGCCCAGCCTTAGACGATTATGAAAAATCCAAGCATCACACGAGCCCCCCACCCCCCCAACGGTAGTGCTTGGAATAGACAGTTGTTATGTCGGCAGGTTGGCACAACGTTTGGAATGACATTACTAATACGTAACCCATATTGCATATGGTTGCTGCAAGTACTTGATCATGCTGCGCAAACACAAAAACGTAAGGGTGGGATGTTCCAAGCGGATGATTTATCATAAATCTTCCGAAATTCCAACATCAATCTGCACCATGTCAACACAACCGGAGACAATTGCACACAGACTTCTTGCATGCGCCAAAGGGGCTCATCATCAAAGGCCTCCGCCTCCTCGTGCACACAAGCTCAGGATGTTTTTGGCTCTCATGCCAGTCAGGAATTCTGGAGGTCCCCTTTTCTAGAAAGCTGGCAACGCTGTGTCCTTGTACAACAGGTACGCAGTGAAAGCTGAAGCAAGCTGAGACATGGCCTGAGAAACAGGGCTTCAACATCATACGCAGGCATGGACTCCGTATTCCACATTGTTGTCCCGTCACCGGCACTCACGCCGATGATATGGCAGCTATCTCCATTGACATCAGTTACCTGTCTTGATGGTAGGAGGAGGGCTCCTGATGTATGGGGACATCTTCAACGATGCTGAACGGGGCTGCAACTAGAGAAGCCGGGGCAGACCCGACTTTGGCCAACACCTCCAGCCAGCTTGATCGCACGTTGCTGATAAAGGATACTGCTGGCAAAAACGGCGCCGACACCCAGACCATTGTCCCAGTCAATGATTGAGAGGCTTGCCGCGGTTTGTCACATCCGAAATGACTTGAAATGTGCTTAATTTCAACACGCGAGCGTTCGGTGAACTTTGCTTGGCTACCTTCGCGCTCTTCTCAAAGTTCTCACTAACAGTTGCAAGTTGAATGGAGACATCTTTTGGCTTTTGCCTAGAGAGGCTTTGACCGTCTTTACACCACGAAATCTGGAACTCAGCAAGTCTCACCAAGCTTGCCTCTAAGCTGCACTTGGGAAGTGACGTTGTGGGCCTCCGCCCTGCCCTCTGCCCAACTCTGCCTTCCTGTACTTTGACCAGTTCAGTCATGGCAGGGCCCCTTCAATGAGCTCTATCTAAGTCTATCCAGCCTATTCAGAGCAAGCAAGCTCCAGGCGCAAAGGACGTAGAAGCCCGGCCACATCAAACCTGTGCAGAATGCCATGGGCTTGCTGCAGACCCTTTTGAGAGCACTATGGATACAATGAGGGCTGGAAGATGTGGCAGGCCCTGCAAAAAGGTTTCAATTTGTCTTTGCTTTTGCCCCACTCCCCACTCGACAGCCCAACCTATCAGGCTTCCGCCTCATCTCTAACACATTTCATTAGTGTGGGCAACCATGGACCCATGTCTCGGGAAGACAAGGGCACATAGATTTGTTCTCTGAAGAATCTACGAGATGTTTAGCATACCCAGGAGCCTATCGGAGGCATACCCCTGCGAGAAGTTAAGGGGTTACGTATAGTTGCCTGTATGTTATGCTTTAGGGGACCCTTCAAGAATATGAAGTGTGAATTCGGTGTATGTCCCAAACAAGATGCAGACTACATAGAGCAGTCTCTACGGCTCTACGGCATAGTGACTAAAAAACTATGTCATGAAGGAGCCATCTTCATCCAAAACAACCTTGAAAGCGACAAAATTACAACAGAAAACCAGCATTCTGGATACCATCAGAACTCACATCATGGGTTTGATATGGAAGTGTGCTTCTAGAATGATAGGCTTCGTAAAGGAAACGTTGCTAAAAGTATAACATGTCATGTGAACCGCATCAGAAGAATGCGAAGTCTAGATGGGGATACTCTGCACAGAAAAACGTACACTCGCGTAAAGGCTCGGCTTCGGAATGCTTTGGAAATGATTGGATCCTTGGCGGGCATGTATACCAAACTAAATAAGGATCTTTGTCTTGCTATGCCATGCGAATACATTTGTGAAGTTCTATATGTGGACAGATCAGCTATAAAAGTTAGAGGATTTATTCGGAAATCCTAATTTGCAAGCTATGTAGGTGATCCTATAGAACCTCTGCATCAGG